AATTGCCACTTTTTTTTATTTTTAGAATTAGGCAAGATAAGATGTTAAAATCTGTTATTGATACCTTATTAATCCCAACCTGAGAGGTCTTAACAGTTGGGTGTGTATCTTTTTAGGCGTTTTGTCTACATGTTTAAGTATGTTATATAAGATATGAACACAGATTATTAATAAAGATATATATTCATTCTTTTTAAAGAAGAAATGAGATAAGGGCTTACACAGATATACTGACCAATATGGTAGCCACTACTCAATGAGGCTATTTAAGTTTATATAAACTAAAATTATTTTAAAAGCCCCTTGACTGCACTAATCACATTTCAAATGCTCAATAGCCCCATGTGGCTCATGGCTACTATATTGGAAACTCCAGTTGTAAAACACTTCCATGACTGTAGAAAGTTCAGCTGAACAGGTCAATTAATTAACTAATACTTATCATACTATAATACTAATAGTTATAATGCTAATGCCAATTTACTGTTAAGAATACTCTATCTATTCCTGACATACATAGCTCATAGATGCAATTCCTATACATGACTCCATAGATCAGACATGCAGAGTATTCCTAACCATCAGTAAATCATGATTACCTGCTTCTCCCCTTAAATATAATTCTCTGAACATAGAGAAGATAGTGGCTATCAGAATACATGCTCGGTAGCAGAGACAAAAGGCAATTGGGTTGTTTATATTTAATTTGGTTCTGGAAACTATTACTGAGGGTCCCAGTTTTAGGCATTGCGATCTCCACCATGGGATGCAATTGCTCAATTTGTTATGCCTGTGTAGACTTGGCTAGGTTGGAAATGTGCAGCCCTAATGACCACATTCTGATATTTTCCTAGAGGGGCACCATTTCACCTGGGAAGGAATACAGTAGACATGCCCCATGAATTCCTCAAAAGCTTCCTTTCAAATGCAGGCAAAACCAGACAGACAGGCAAACCTACTAATAACAGGCAATCCCAGTTACAGAGACTCTGAAATTTTTCACCTGTCTTCCTAGATTGCCAGTCTTTGTTCTGGTAACTTGGTATTTTGCAAAAAGTCCAGTTCTTGGTGATTTAAAGCTAGGAAATTAAGAGAAAATCAGAAAGCCAAATGAGCATTTATAGGTAGAAAAAGCTAAATGTGATTATCTGGTCTCTGAGGAGCTAACTACAAGTTCAGATGAAAATGGGAAGATCACGAGAGTCATGTGCATGTGCACAAACACAAATACACCCCATGCCCAAACATAAACACACACACACACACACACACACAAATGCAACCCATACCCCTGTAACACAAATGCACCCCATGCCCCCCAACACAAAGGCACCCCACTCCCACACAGACATACACACACACAAATGCACCCCACGCCCACACACAAACACACACACAAATGCACCCCACGCCCACATATAAACACACACACACACACACACACACATAAATGTACCCCACGCCCACACAAACACACACAGAAAATGCACCCCACACCCGCACATAAACACGTATGCACACAAATATACCACGCACCCACCAAACACAAATGCACCCAACTCCCACACATACACATACATATACACAAATGCACCCCACAGCTCCCCAGCAAAAATGTACCCCTACACCTACACATGCACATACACACACAAATGTACCCCAGGCCCACACATACACACACACAAATGCACACCAGGCCCACACATACACACACACACAAATGCATCCTACCTCCACACATACACATATACACAAATGCACCACATGCCCCACATATACACACACACAAATGAACCCCACACTCCACACACACATGCACACACAAATGCACCCTACACCCACATACACATGCACACAAATACAAATGCATCCCACACCCACACAAACGCACACATACAAATGCACACCCCACACAGATACACATACACACACACAAATGCACCCACACCCCCAACTTAAATGTGCCCCACACCCACACATATACTCACGTATACACATGCAAATACACCTCACACCCAAACATACATACACACACACAAATGCACTCTAAACCCCCCCACACACAAATGCAACCCACATCCACAAATACACACACATACACTCCAAGCACCTACACACACACACACACACATGCACACACTCCAAGCCCCCCACACACAAATGCACTCCAAGCCCACATATACACACACACAAATGCACTCCAAACCTACTTACACACACACACACACACACAAATGCACTCCAAGCCCACTTACACACACACACACACAAATGCACTTCAAGCCCACACACACACACACATACACACAAATGCACTCCAAGCCCTCTTACACACACACACACACACACAAATGCACTTCAAGCCCACACATACACACACAAACAAATGCACCCCACACCCATACAAAAACACACAGAAACGTACCCCACGCCCACACATACACACAAATGCATCCCATGCCCACACATACACACACACATACACACACACACACACACATACACACACAAGCACAAAACCCTTCCAGTCTGTGCCCACCTCCAAAGAAACATTGCTGCATAAATAAATCATTTGGATAGCTCACTGTTTGAGCACAATCGATTGTTCCTCTGTACTAGGGTCAGGCACTGTATATCCACAGCCTGGCCTGACCTGCAGTTGTATATAAAATATGATATTAAAAAAACTCCCTAGCAGCCCACTTCTACTTGGGAGGCTCACAGTCCATCAATCATTCATTTCTCTTTGCTCACACTAGCACCACCAATAGGCCACAAACTTGGGGAACTGAACAGCTGTGAAAGGAAGACTGTTGCTCAGGAAACCCAGAGTTCCCGTCGTAGAAATCATACAGCACCTCACAGTTTTCCTGGAGCATACTTAGCAGGAACTTACTGGAATGGCGGAAGGAGCCCAAGGGAGTCTTTTCAATTATTTTGAGGATCTTATATGGACACTATATACATTGCTCAGAGTAGGAGATAACGTCTTCCAGCCCCTTCAAAGAACACCAAAGGTCTAAGGGGAGAGAGAAGAGAAGGCAGAGAGCCTAACAGTGATGTGTCTTCTGCTCCATCGGGAATTCTCAATGTTGGTATCACTGCCAGTTTAGGCTGGGTAACTCATGTCACAGGGGCTGTCCTGTGCATTGTGAGATGTTAGGCAGCGTCCCTGGCCTCCACCCGCTAGATGCCAGTTGCATTACAGTGATGTTGCTCCACTAATTATGACAACTGAAAATGTCTCCAGACGTTGCCAGATGTCTCCTGGGGGCAAAATTGTCCACAGTTGAGAACTGCTGATGTAGGCATCGGAAAGATCTCTATACTATCTGCATCATATCTAAGATGACACCAAGGTAGACAGGGGCAGAGTGTGTTAGTTTGCCAGGGCTGCTGACTTACGCATCAGAAAGTCTCCGTACTATGCATATCACATCTAAAAAGACACCAGGGCAGACGGTAGCAGAAGTGTATTAGCTTCTTAGGGCTGCTGACACTTAGGCATCAGAGAGATCTGTACTATCTGCATCACATCTAAGACACAGAGGTAGACGGGAGCGGAAGTGTGTCAGCTTGCCAGGGCTGCTATCAAAAAGCACCACAGCCTTAAACAACAGAAATTTATTTTCTCACAATTCTGGGAGGTAGAGGTTCAAGACTAAGGGGTTTGCAGAGTTGGTTTCTTCTGAGGCGTCTTTCCTTGGCTTGCAGACGACCATCTTCCGGCTGTGTGTTCATGTGGTATTCTCTCTGTGTGTCTGTGTTCTAATTTCTTCTTCTTATGAGAACACCAAATATACTGGATTCTGGCCCAACCATAACTTCACGGAACCCAGATTAACTCCCTAAGGACCCTGTCTCCAAACACATGCACTCTTGACGTCCTGGGAGTGAGAACTTTAGCATCTGAATTGCAGGTAGTGGAGATACTACTCGGCCTCCATATAAGAGGCAATCCTCAGACCCAGATACATGATTCTGTGTCACTCATAACCTCGCTGCTTTATCCATGGTAGGCTTCAGCCCTAGTATTTAGGATGGGGCTCTCTCTACTGCTCATTTCCTCTCTGTCATGTGAAGAGTAACTTCTTTAACTTCTCTAACTGGGGAAACAAGAGGAATGAACCCAGCAGGTGCTGCTCAGCCTCTCCCACTTCCTCTCATCTGCATCTCCCTCCCAGGCAGAGAACTTTGTAGTCTCTCCTCTCCTCCCAGGAAGCCTCTGCAGCGTCTGAGTAGACTTTGATTTCTTTTCTCATGTTAAAAAAAAAATTCAACAAGGAACACCTTGAAATTGTGAGATTCCCTAGGTTGACAAACATTTTCTGTAACGGGGCGGATAATAAATACTTCCGACATGCAGTCCCCAAATCAGCCTCAGAAATACATGCTGTGTAGGTGCAGCTGGGTATAAATAATAAAACTTTATTAAAAAATAATAATCCAAATGGACTAAACTGAGCCCACGGGCTATAGTTTTCCAACTTCTGCCCTGTGGCATTAAATACACTATTTGATTTGTGCAATTGCAGTTGCTACTGGACATGGTCAAGTTTAAGTAAAATGAGGAGTCTGCGGAGACGTGACAACTACTTTCCTGTGATAATAACCACCAAAATTCTGTTGTTCTCACCCATGACTGCTAGTGGATATATACAAGAATATTTACAATCACAGACACTTGAAAGGGCATATTAAGCTGCCTTTCTGTTCCTTTTCTTTCCTTTCTGCTGACCACGTTGCCACCAGCTCTGGTTTCTAATTTCTTTCCTCATTAAAAGTCCTGTCAACCATCCCGAGAACAGAGTTGTTCCTTTAAAAATATCCATCTCATAAAGGACCTGTAGGAACAGTGCATAAGACAGATAGGAACAGTGCATGAAACCCCCTCCAAACAAAAGACTTATGAGAAATAAATCTGAACTTTGATTTCAAATCACTCCAAACAAATCATCTTCAAACACGAAATGAGCTGTCCTCAGAATGTGTTTTGCAACATCATTGCTGCAGAAAACCCTCAACTTTTCTAGAGGTGAGTTTAGAATGCATCTCATCCCTTTGTTACATGTGCGCCCAAATTATCAGCCAAGATCAAGCCATGTAAGCTTATTCCACGTCAGCAGGGAACAATAGCAGAAAAGGATACAGATGATCCACTGGTATTACGTATTAGAGCTAACAATCATCATGTGGAGATCCCAGAGAGAAGTCTTGCTTACGTGCAAGGAAGCTGTTTCAGCACTGCCATCAATAGCCAAAAGTGGGAAGCAGTCCAATGTTTATTAAAAGGGGGGTGATAAACCATTAAGGATATACATACAAAGTACAGAATCCTAAGATGTTGCTAAAAAGAATGTCATAGTGCATATGGACCTCATGCAACATATTCATGAGGTTTGGTTGTATTAGTCTGTTTTCATGCTGCTGATAAAGATATACTCAAGACTGGACAATTCACAGAAGAAAGAGGTTTAATGGACTTACAGTTCCACATGGTAGGGGAGGCTACACAATCATGGTGGAAGGCGAGGGGGAGCAAGTCTCGTCTTACGTGGATGGCAGAAGGCAAAGAGAGAGCCTATGCAGGGAAATTCCCTCTTATAACATCATCAGTTCTTGTGAGACTTACTCACTATCATGAGAACAGTATGGGAAACAGTATGGGAAAGACATGCCCCCATGATTCAATTCCCTCCCACCTGTTCCCTCCCACAACTCATTCAAGATGAATTTGGGTGGGGATTTAAGATAAGATTTGGGTGGGAAGATAGCCAAACCATATCAACTGTTAAACAGAAAAAAGTAGTATCATATATACATATACAGGTACATATATATTGTACCTATGTCTGTACATATGCATACTAATAGGTATATACATATATACAGGTAGGTGATATTTAAACAATATTATATATACGTTTGTAGATGTGTATTTATTGATCCATCTTTTTTTATACCCATGATCTCTAAATATTTTTGTCAATATATAGAAAATAGATACTATCCATAGCAGTTTTTCCTAGGAAGGGAAGTACATTTAGAAGGCTAGTGTGGGTTGGGAGGGGAATTTTACCTCTCTCTGTACTTTTGTATGTTTGATCTTCTTGGAGCAATTATATCTGTATTTTCAAAGAATAAAATAACTACACCATCTACACTAGAAGCAAAAAATTTTTGAAATACTTTTTAATAAGATTCTTGTCACATAAATCACAAAAATTTATTGTTTAAAAAAGCAAAAACTGAAAACAAAAAGTATATGGAGTAAAAAAAAAAAAAAACTGTTCTTTTGTTTTTTGTTGTGTTTTTTTAGACAGAATCCAGCTCTATTGCCCAGGCTGGAATGCAATGGCGCAACCTCAACTCATGGCAGCCTCTGCCTTCAAACACCCTTTGTCTGCAGATTCGTGTTTCCAGCTAAATAACTAAAGAAGAAAATCCACTAGCTTCCTCACAATGTGATTTTCCACTTCTGTACTCCCAATTTTGTCCAGTTTTCTCCCATAATTTCTTAGGCATGAGTCCTATGGGATTTGAGAAATTTATATTTTCACGAATGCTATATCTCTTGACATTATTGTATTCATGAGAACTTTTTTTTGCGGTGAGGTTTTAAATTAAAACGCTGGCTCAAATTGGCTTAAGCAAAAAAAGGAAATGTATTCATTCACATAAGTGAAACAAAATCTCAGAATAACTCTAGATTGCAGCAGGGATACATTCGTAGACTTGGGACTCAATCTTAGCTCTATGGTCTTTTTATGAGGTTAGCCATGTTCTTAGGGAGGGAGAGAAATGGCTAGCAATTTCAGGCTCAATATGTTCAGTTTCTAACAGCTTTATCAAGAGTTCTGAGACTGAATCTCCCTGGAGAGACTTGAGCCACTTGTTCATCTATGAGCCAATCCCTTTGGCTGGGAGATGGCATTATGCCAACTAGCGAGGTTTAGGTTCCATACTCAACTCTAGAGCTAGGTAAGGAGCCAGCTCTCTGGAAGGATGGAGGGAAAATGCAAGAGAGGTAGTCCCCCAAGAAAAATGCAATTATGGGAATAGAGGATGAGGAAACGGACACTGGACAGATGAAAACAATGGTTGTTTTGTGAAAAAGATCTCGCCATGAACAGAAGTGATCTGGGACTGACCCAGAAAGTTGTACATCTAGCCTTCAGCCTCCCCCAACTTACCAAGTGGCAGCACCACCGGCTGCATTCAGAGATTGGTGCAAATTCAAGTGTTCTCAGATTGAGTTTCTTTTTAATTGCTGTTTCATCAGCTTAGAACGTGCTTCCCCAGATCCCCCTCATCCTTTAGGTCTTGGCTGAAACTTCATCAAAGTCATTAACTAAAGGCCATGTGAAGACCATCACTGGTGTAAATTCCAGTAGTGAATTTCAGTGAATTCACCGGCATCACATTCAGAAGAGGCTCTAGAGCTGTGTTGTCCCAGATGACAGCTGCTGGCCACATGTGGCTATTCAGATAAAATTTAAAATTCAGCTCCTTGGTAGCACTACCTTTAATGTGAGAGATCAGTAGTCACATGGAATTAGCGGGTACCTTATTAGACACTGATGATGTAGAACATGAGTGTCACTGCACAAAGGTCTATTGGAAAGTGCGATTCTGGAATCTCTTCTCATTCTCCTCTCCCTCTCAAAGACTGAAAAATGAAGAACGGCATGTAACTGAACTAGGAAAGGCCAAGTGACCGCTGAAGGCCTCCCAGGCTCCAGAGACTATGATCGTATTTACAATGAAAAAAACAGATGAATGCTCAAGCAGGAAAAGTTGTGTTTCTTCCCCCTCAAAACTACAAAGGAAAAATTCTTTATTTTTTCTGTTGGAAAGAGACAAAGGGCTACATGAAAACAATGACAAGGAGAGGAAAACGAAATCAAATGCCATTTGTTCTGAAGGGTTGTTACTAAAGTTTCCATATCTAAAATTGTGCTTTTTAAAAAAGTTTAAAAAAAATTTCAATCGCTTTAGGGGTCCAAGTCAGTTCTGATTACATGGATGAACTGCATAGTGTTGAAATCTAGGATTTTAGTGCACCCGCCACCTGAGTAGTATACATCTTACCAAATAGGTAGTTTCTGCTTCCTCATCCCCCTCTCTGAATGCCAAAAGGGGCATACTAATAGCTTAGCTCCCACTCACAGGTGACAACATGAAGTATTTTTTGATTTCAGAGTTAATTTACTTAGAAGAAACCTCTACCTTCACCCAATTTGCTGCAAAAGACATTATTTCATTCTTTTTTATGGCTGAGCAGTATTCCATGTTATATATGCCATATTTTCTCTATCTACTCACTGGCTGATGTGCACTGAGACTGCTTCCATATCTTTGCAATTATGAACTGTGCTATGATAAATGTATGAATGCAGGTATCTTTCTGATACAGTGACTTCTTTTCCTCTGGGCAGAGACCCAGTAGTGGGTAGTGGGATTGGCTGGATTAAATGGCAGGCAAACTTTTAGTTCTTTGACAAATCTCCATTCTGTTTTCCATAGAGGTTGTCCTCATTTATATTCCCACCAGCGTTCCCTTTCTTCTTAAACTTTTGTTCTAATTTCAGGGGCACATGTGCAGGTTTGTTACACAGGTAAACTTGAGTCATGGAGATGGGTATGTCACACAGATTATTTTATCACTCAGGTATTAAGCCTAATACCCAACAGTTGTTTTTCCTGATCCTCTCCACAATAATAAAAGATAGTTACACATAGGCTTACCAACAAACTATATTCGCTATTTCTGGTGGTCGACAAAATGGATTTTGTTGAGTGCAAAGTAGAGTTGAGACATATACTGTGTTTGGATCAAACCCAGCTCTTGGCCTGCAGAACTGAGTGTGTTCTGGAATCATTTTGTTCCTGCAGCCTTTAGTCCATTCCCTCCCTTACCATGTGCCAGCACCATGTGCTGCATTCAGAGCCTTGTGAAAGCTAAAATGTTCTCAGGTTCCATGTGTTTTACTTGCTATTCCATCAGCCTAGGGCACGCTTCCCCAGATCCCCTCACACTCTTTAGGTCTGCTTAAACTTCATGTCATCATGATTTTTTTTTTCTGGAAGCCTTAGCCAACACACACATTATGATTCTCCATTACAACACCCCATGCATTTACTCTTTTCTTTCTTTTTTTTGAGACAAAGTCTCACTCTGTTGCCCAGGCTAGAGTGCAGTGGTACAGTCTCGGCTCACTGCAACCTCCACCTTCTCAGTTCAAGAGATTCTCCTGCCTTAGCCTCCCTAGTAGCTGGGATTACAGAATCCAGTCACCCTCCCTGGTTATTTTTGTATTTTTGGTAGAGACAGGGTTTCATTATGTTGGCCAGACTGGTCTCGACCTCCTGACCTCAACTGATCTGCTCACCTCAGCCTCCCAAAGTGTTGGGATTACAGGAGTGAGCCACCACACCCAGCTCATGCATTTACTCTTAATAATTATCAACTCTAATTGTTTGGTTTACTCTTTATTTCCCCTACTATATCTAAGTAGAATGTAACTCCCATGGGGTCCGAAACCATGCCTGTATTTCCTGTTGTTGCTCCTATGTTAAGTGGACGTTCAATAAGCATCTGTGGGTTGAATGAAAGAATGGACAGAGAAAGACAGGTGGAGAGGGGGCTAGGAGTTTTGCTCATCAAGCCAGCCTGCATTACCTGCTGGTAACGTAACTAAGAATGGACTACCAGCCACTGCTTGGCCCTACGACCTTTAGGACTTAAAGTATTTTAGGTTTTCCCTTTAAAGGGGTGGGCCATTTTGAAAAATGCTGGGCTTGATCATTTGTACATAGATTGAGCAAAGTGAGACAAACTTGACTGCTTTTAAGTTCAGCCAATTTGCATGCCAGTTGCTGTCATTAAAGTGAGATGAAGTGAGGGAGAAGACATTTAGGGCATCTAGAGCTTAAGGTGACTAGGGATTACCACCTTTCTCTCTACATAGGCAAAGGATGGGAGACACAGAAAAATGCACATACATTTG